TTTGCGACCGCGCCGTCCTCACCTTACTTACGCTTATTTTTTGTTAAAAATGCACAATAACTTGAATTTCATAGGACTATTTCGGCAAGGACGATCGCACAAAGGTTAAGTATATAAGTAGCAAAAGGTTTTCGTTTAGAAGAGCGCATAATAACCACGAAGAAGTAAAAAACATCACTTTCGCTGCGAATGAAATTAAAAGCATTTATATCTAAGTACTCCCATCAAATCAAATATATTGAAACTCACAGAGTTTTGTTTCAACTAACTCTAAAATCTTTCATAAGAATATTGACGGCAGTGAAAGTATTATTAAGAAAGAATCGGAACGAAAGTTTTGTGCGTTCGGAAAATCTTTGCTTAATCAAAAGATACTTGACCACTCTAGCTGCCAAGCGGTTTATAGTCATGCTAATGTATTATCTATAGAATGAATACAAGAAACCCGAGAGGAAGGAGCGCAAGCACGATAAAAGTGAGTAGCATAGACTTGACGCGCTTGCGCGTCAGAATGTCCGATGCGGTGCGAAATTCTTGACGCGCATGCGCGTCAGCTTGTCGTCAACGTGTTAAACTGGTCAAACCAGACATTGATACGAAGTTCCAAACTGCGATCCGCTCGCTCAGTCATGGTTCACCTGCCTGACCGGCTATTATAAGGGCGTACACCGCGACTTTCTAGGTATGCATTTTTTATACGAAAATCAATGTACATAGTATCTCGCAGATTGGTAATCAAGAGTGCAATCAAAAATGTCAATTACCGTCAAAAACACCACACTCTATCAGTTTATCTTGGTCTCTTCGTCAAGACTGATCAGCTACCAAATCACATCCATTGTCGGAACAATATCCCACACCTTGCCGTAATACGCCTTCAGAATCCTCTACCATTCCGAATGGATGAGTTCTAGTGCGCAGCACTTCCCGTGTAAATAGGAGCGAGAAGTAGAGAAGAACCGCGCGTACTATGAAGGATTTCTTCAATCATACTTTGTATAAATAGTGCGCTCCTGTTTAAAAGCACAAGCGTAAGTATAAACGGAGGATATATTCAGCCAGCCAGTTTTTGACTGGTTTGTAACATATACAGAAAATTATAAAGCATTAGCAGAAGGGAAAAAACTCAACAGGATGAAAAAGAGAGCATTCAACGCTGACCAATTCCTTTTTAGAATGTGCCACACATCCACACATCCTACTTCCCTTCAGAATCGTAGTATCACCTGTCGTCTCGTTGATCATCGATTTGCTCGAGCGGCGCCGAGCAGGGTTACTCCTAGCATCGTCCTCTCGACAGCGCGTTGGATAACGCTGACCGCATGCTCGTCCTGCCTGCGCAGAGTCCAAGTCTCTGAGGCGTAGGTTAGGGCAGGAAGGACTGCGGAATCGAAGAGGTGGGCACGGAGCCGGATGTTCTTCGTCTTCTTCACTACTCCCTCGATGTTCTTATACGCTCCCCAAGCCGCTCGTTTCCTCCTGCTCAGCTCTGGAGCTAGATCGTTCATCATATTGATTTCCCGACCTAGGTACACGTAGCTGGAGCATTCGGTGATGTTCGTTCCGTTGAGCGTGAATGGGGCATCAGGAACCAATCCGTTTCTCATAAACATCGTCTTCGTTAGGTTCAGCTGCAGACCAACCTTACCACAGGCGCAGTCGAAATCAGCCAGCATTCGCTCCGCTTGCTCGATGTTCGGCGTTATAAGAACGATGTCGTCAGCAAAACGAAGGTGGTGTAGTTGCCGGCCGTCGACCTTCACTCCCATGTCTTCCCATTCCAGTTGACGCATGACGTTCTCGAGAGCGGCGCTGAAGAGTTTGGGCGAGATGGTGTCGCCCTGTCGGACCCCTCTCTTGACGTCGATGATGACCTCCTTGTAAGAATGGTGAGATTCTATAGCCCTATTCTATTGTTACAAGGAAGGTCAGATCGATTAAGCATTCTAAAATGTAAAGCTGGACCTACAACACGACTTGCCGTGGCACATGGCGCCCTTACAATTCATCCTCCGTTTATCACCCTCCTCTCGACCAGTGTGTACCGACATACGACCCAGGATTCGGTCGAAAGCAGTGCGCGCGGCATGGTGCGCCACCAGCCACTACGCCACTCCTGGAATTGTTGCTCCACGCTCAGGTCTTCGATATCCGTGTGAATCATCACAAATCATCGTACAAACAATCCACTTTTATTATAGAACACAGTAATAGCAAACAATACCTGCTTCGTAAGAGACGCACTATTGCACCAAGAAAAAACATAGCACAGATGCACATCTATTTGGACGTTTGGTAAAAGCACACCCTGAGTCGCAGTATGTAACTACGTACCGTGGACGCCTAGCTTGAACCATGCCTGGTGATCCTCTCATTCCTCACACAATTCGAAAAAGACCTTCTCTTCATAGGAAAAGAGGCATAACTGTGAAATGAAATTAGGCGTGAAAATACAGTAGCCGTAAACGGTACGTTATTGCACTCAGCGACCCAAGGTATTTTACGCAGATCATCTACATTTCTCTAACAGCACAAAAGACATGATTCAGATTCAGGTATAGGGGAACAAAGCTGGAAACGTTAAGTAGACCTTATTCACGACTCAAATAGTACAGTTATAAATACAGAGTTTACAATTACTTCAAACAACTCATCACAATTCAATAATGAAAAGCTTAGGTATAGGTAATCTCAAGGTATTGTTACGAATTTAGAACACCAGAGAAGATGCAGCCCACTTAAATAAATACCGTAGGCACTGCTTGATGTGAATTTACAGCCCGTAAACATCGTTATTAACATTATATTGTATTAAGCATTGACATTGATCGATCCAACTGGTTCACGAAAGCCATTAGAGGGAAAACACTGAAATCTACCCAAAATGCACAAAACGCGTAAAGCTTTTAAATGTGACTAACACTAGAGAGAAAGGAATGCATGGAAAACAGCGAAAACAAAGACGTGAATTGAAAAACACTTGAATGACTTGAATCAGCCTTTTGTACACGAAATCGCTGACAAACGACATTTGACTACTAGCAAAAGAACAACAACCCTAGCAATGTACTTACAATTCTAGATGCCTAAAAATACTAGAAATTAATTCAAATTCTACTCGATTTTCTCCGATAAATCATCGTCTATTACTCCTCGACATCGCAGTTGTTGCAGTCTAGAATAAATATGGTGAAACAACTTAGAAAAATGAGGGACGGAAGCACCCCCAAAGGTTATGCACGATAACTGCACAGGACATTTGATTATCACATGTATATGTATAATAGTATTACACTAAAACACACGACACTAAGAGGTCACCGCGCGACGTCGCGCCCATTTACTGTCAAAATGTGCCACAAATGTCTAGCTGCTGTAGAAAAGGAACAGGTCGCCGCGCGATTTTGAATGGCAAACGGCCACATCTAAAAGAACAGGTCGCCGCGCGATTTTGAATGGCAAACGGCCACGCCCACTTGCCATTTAGAATGCGCCACGAATTTCTCGCCCGTATTCTGAATTTCTCGTAGTGCCGCAGCGAAACGAAGTGTCTGCAATCGCAACGCGCAAACACACCGCAAAGTAGACTATTGACGTTTGGCTTTTTGGCGGCAAGCCTAACAGCAGGTGGATGCGACGTCGCGCGGTGACCTGTGGTTTTCTCGCATATGAAGGAACTAACCCCCCCCCCATTACCCAATTCTTCTTTGTTCACGTTATTTAAAGGAACTCTATAAAAAATAAGCGAATAAAGAAGAACTAAGTAATGAATGGAGGTAAGCGTTGTGAGCAACTGTTCAGTGCTACCTATCTATTTATAATAGATTAAACAACAGCTCATATTTCATGAGCCATGGATATCAGCCGGGGAATCATGGCTAACAGCTAGAATCTACCAAGAATCATTGCTCTCTCTGACAAAACCCTTCTAATCATGGTTTTCCGGTCAAAATATAAAGAAAAACAGTTAGATTTGAGCAAAACATAGAACTCAGAAAATTTTAGGGGGGGGGGGAAGAATAATTAAAGGAGTGATTCGACTTCCGTTTCGCAAGGACAATAGATGAAGAAAACAAGACAAATGAGACACATTTTAGTCTATCTGTGAGATCCCGCTCACCTCTTGAATATCTGCTTCCTCACAGGGCTGGTGATCTGTGAGAAGACACACACAATAGTCGCCGCGGCGAAGAGAACATTGTACGCCAGAACTAGTTTGAAGTTGCTCAGCCATTTCAGCGACGAATATGCACCGAGTAAATCGAACGATGTTATGCCTGCAATCATCAAAGCTCACGGTCAGCTAGGACGGCACTTGCGCAAAAAAAGCTCGAGCTATACTAACCGAGCGTATTTGCCAGCACTGGTAGCGCTGAACTCAAAACAAGAACCAGGCTGCAATTGATGATGATCACGGTGAGAGAAGTCCGAGCACGTTGAGGTCGTAAAGCTCGTACAAACGGCATCGAGTAAAGACCGGTCAGGGAAGTTGACATCACATACCTGGAAACAGATTAACCTTACGAACCTCGAGTAATACTTTCGTAGACATGCTAAAACAGACGGCTCGCGAGCGCTGCGTCCGATCAGAGGCGATTCTCTCCCCAAAGCCATCGGCGTCTATCTCATTTCCTGGTCTTCAATTACGAAAGCGCGACAGCATTTGGAGTTAATGCGTTAATCTAACGTATGTCATGGCGCATTATGTAAAGCATGGTTCACGGAAACGTCCGACCGCTAGACCTTCACGGCTGTCTTCTTGAAAAATTTGAAATGACAGAAGGGGATCATTATCATGCTGAGGCACACTACGAATGCTCGCTTGAAAAATTTCAAGAAAATGAAATGAAAATGAAGAGTGTATTAGCATGAATAATCTCCAGCAGGAGGGGGTAACGAGCGCCCTACCCTAGTCAGATTTCAACTGCGACATTTTGTTTCAATTTTGTTCAAGTTACATTCGCCTGCTTCAAAATACTAGGGCTGATCTATGTTAATGTGCAGGTGTGTAAGCGCTCCCAAACTAGCTTTGGAGGCTCGCAGCTGTTCTGAAGAGCACCTCGGCACTATTCTCGCCCTTGTGCTGTTGCAAATTTCGAATAGGAAAACCTGCGGAGGGCATGCTTTCCAGCTCCTGACAGAACCTTCTTAGTTCGGTCTGCAGCGCAGGACTCTAACAAGGGAGGTCCTTCAATGGCAAGGTGCGCTTTCTGGAAACGGTTTAGTAAATGTTGTAGGGACGCATGTATGGAACCACAAAAACCATGTTTCGTTTTCGCTGAACGGTTTTAGTAGTACCAAAAAAGTGGTGAATAATACTCTTGATGGTTCAATCCCCCGCGGCGACTAAATTTTGCAATCAAGGTTGGCGGCCACTTGTTGGCTTCAAAATGGTCCTGATGACATCTGATTTTGATATTTAGCGCGATTTGGCACCAAACCGTAGGCGCCAACCCAAATGCAAAATTTAGTCGCCACGGGGGATCGAACCCTTAACAGTACCTTATGCTTCTTTTTGGTACTGCTATAACCGTTCAGCGAAAATGAAACATGGTTTTGCGTTCCCTACATGCGTCCCTACAATATGCACAAAACCGTTTTGAAAAAGCGCACCTTGCCCTGAAAGACCTCCCTTGTAAGATCCAAATAAACGGTACACGCCTCGCTCGAATCAACAGTAGTTACTTTTTTCTCCCAGAAGCATACTCGGCCAGAAACGAATTCAATCATATGGTAAGATCGCAAGTCGGTATTTTCGTAACTCTTCACGATTAGAGATAAACAGAGATCGTACATGACTTCTGGACCGAATAACCTCATCGTATGCGGAAAATTTGAGTTGATCACATTTCTCAAATGGGCTGGACGCACCGTTGTAAACCCCTCCCACGTTACAAACATGTACTCATTGATGGACGTCGCCCAAGAGCAAAGATCTCACTATCATTGAAAAGAAGGTACAATAAAAGTGTTGGTTAACAAAAAAAAAATCCAAAACAACTATGTCTAACGACCGCGAAAAAAGTAAATAAATCCATTAAAATTAAGAATTGAAATTCGAGTTTATTTGAAGTGGTAGAAAGAAAGACTTACATTATGGTGATGCTCTCGATAATCACACCGGCAATACCAAGTGAATGCCTCGTATGCACCTCCATGTATTGTGCGTACACGGGAAGGCTACGGAAACCAAACACCAGCTTCAATGAATTGATCACCACCATCAGAAGTGATATACCCTAAAATATCAGGATCAGTTGTATTAGCTGCACCTCCATAACCACAATCACTCGATGGAAAAACCTACCGTGAGCGCAAGCAGGCTGATCACAATGGTCGGATATTTCACGATACGAATGAATTGTTGACACAGTCTTAGCGACTTCCGATGAAGCGGACTCAATATCTGGAAGAAAACGAGGAATACTAAATAAATCAAAATCACTAATTTAAGAGAGGAATTTTTGCTTACTCGTAGCACTACTGCAGGAACGAAAAAACAATAAACTACAAAAAGTAGGGTACCTGGCTGGCGACAAGTTGAGGCCGTGCAGCTCGTCCAAAGCTCACCGATCGCATTTCTCCGGACGAGTTTTGACTAGTGTCGCTCCATCCAACCGATGCTGATGAAGTGTCCGACTCAGGAGTGAAGTCGTAGATCGAAGAAGAAAATAGATGACACGATTCGCCACATTCACTTCTAGCAGCAAACCCTAAATCAATTGCAACAATGAATCCTGTGCAGATAAGTTTTTCCTGAGCAATCAAAAATATACTAAGAAAAACAAAACACGCGGTACAAACCATTTTGTGTCATTCGGAACGATCGCATGCGCACTGGCAAATAGCCATGAGATGCTGGTGAGTAGAACGATGACACAGATTCTGAATATACTAGAAAATTAGTAACAGAAGAAGACAACCACGCAGAAGTGGAAATGAAAGACAGACAATTAGTGATTGTGAAAACAATTAGTCTTGTAAAACATGAAAATAAGCATAACAAAGCGTAGAACGCTAGGAGAGACTGATTGTTTTTGAGA